ATATATATATATATTGCTATATTGCGAAGCTCTTATGATTATACCGTCGATGTTTGAGGATCTTTTTAAAGATTTGCCATGAAAAATGGGCCTGTGAATTTCGGGGAAAAAAAAAAAAAATCACCACTGTCTGGTGGGACATTTTTATCATAATAGGCTGCATGAAAATCTCTCTGGTTCCTATGGCCAAAATGGAACAGGAAGTCGGCCATTTTGGTTTGGGGTGGGGGTGGGGGGGTATTCCAGGGCTCGTACTTTGGCTCGTATTCTCGCCGACAGGATCACTGCCACCTTAAGTCCTAATGACATCCAGCTTAGTCCTGGTGTCAGACAGGACGTCAGTGAAAGACTTGGCCTACATGCTCCGAGCAGACTGAAAGAGAGATCTTTGCTACTGTATTCAGGGCCTAATAATGCATAGACATTTAAAAAAAAAAAAAAAAAAAAAAAAAAGTTTTGTAACCAGTCGAAATCCCTACAAACTTTGATCCGCCGAGAGCTTTGGATAACATAGCAAAATCCCCTCGCTCCCCTTCTTCCTCTCTTTCACTGTTCGTTTCCGCTGTAAGTGGTTTTAATTAAAAATGTTTTTTCATCTGAGCATTCTTTGAGTTTTAACTGAAGATCCCCAGGAGAGGAGGATTTTTCTCTTGTTTTACGCGAATGTCACATGCCCGCAACGTGCCGTTCAAGTTTTCATGATGAGACTTGAACTGAAATGCAAAGCGGTTGAGTTTGATGGCGCGTATTCAAACAATGACCAACGTGTTTGGAAGTGTAGCACCACAAACATACACGTCTTTGAATGTATTTTCCCACTGGGATTAAAAGAAGTAGAAATGATCCGTTTCCTGATTTATATTGTATTTGCGGAATATGAATTAATCAGAAAAAAAAAAATTACCTGGTTTTTGTTTGCCATCTCATCTGGCAATCATTTTGCCACTTGCTGTCGACTGAAAATGACATCACAACTGAGCAACAGTGATGTCATTTTCAGTCGACAGCAAGTGACAAAATGGCCGCCCTCTTTAGTAAAAACACTCACTCATTGATGACGAGTTTCACGAAGAGACAAGCAGTCACTTTTGAACATGCATAAATGTAAAAAGAAGACATATGATGATATATAAAAAGTCTACACACCCCTGTTCAAAATGAGAAGTTTTTGTGGAAAAAAACAAAGAGACGAGAAATACCATTAACTATGCAACTTAACTGAAAAAAAATATTTTCGTCTTTTCCAAATAATGTCTACGAAAAGAACAGCTGAACTTTATTTGGAGTTAATTCGAGGCATTCTACGAGGTGTGTCTTCTTGACTCCCAGTTCACACGAGCATGAATATTTTTTTTACCCGCGTTGAGATTTCACACTTAGACAACAACTTTTCACGCCACTTTAGAGTCTTCCCTCTTAAATTTAGCGCCATGTGTATCATTTTTAATCGCTAATTGCTAAAAGCATGTGCACCTCGTGCTAAGATGGAAGCCGGCGTCTTGTCTGTTGCATGAAAGCAAGCAAGGCGAGCGGCTCGCTCTGGACGCCGTCCAACTCTCAATGTTCTACGAGGGGCCGAAAAGGCGTACTCCAGAGAGTGTCCTAATCAGCCTTTAATTGTATGTTCCTCCACTAAATCAATGGATGCAAATGATTTGATGAATTCAGACACAGCTGGATACTAAATCGCCAATTAAAGCTTGAGCGTGCACAAGCGGACTCCCGGCGCATTGTGAGCTCTCGCCTGTTGTTTTTGTGGCGGAATATTTCTGTAGTGCTTGTTTTTCCTCAACTGCTGGTGTATTCTCGCTGGGTTATATTTATGACAATTTTAATAGATTCAAGTGTTCTTTCTATTTTTTTTAGTTTTTCATTTTCTTTATTTCTTTGTTGAAGTGAAGTAGAAATAAATTCAAATGAAAGTTTTCCTCGTCTACCAGCCCATCCTGAAGGGCTTTAGTTTTATGCAACAAAGTCCTTTATGCTTTATTTTTATTTGAATGGTGGTAAAATGAAACATAGCGGCTCATGGAATCATTTGGTGGATACACTTGAGACTTGAATGAAATTTGGACGTGAGTCATTTTCAAATATTGGAAAATAAAATGTTTTGGAACATTGTTTTGAATCATTTTAATTTTATATTTTATTCATACTTTGACGGGCAAAAGACAGAACCTTGAGGAACACCGAATTAAATGCGGTCACATTATCATCACATTAATTAACTGACTTAAAAATGATGGAGCAAAGGCAACACTTTCTTTACCATTCATCCTCTCTGCCCCTTATTTCATCTGGTGTTCCTCAAGCCCCAGTTTTACGCCAACTGCTGTTTGAACAAATGGAATGAAAAATCTCGTTTTACTCTGGTGACATGATGAGCTAAAATGATTTTTTTTTAAACTGTTGAATTGATTTCTGTTAGCACAGTGGTTGAGTAGTTCGCACGTGTTCGGTTCTTGTGTAAACTTTACTTTTTGTCCCCGTACTTTTTACTTTCATTTCTGCTTCCTTCCACATTCCAAAAACATGCATGTTTGGTTCACCAAAGACTCTAAATTGACCTTAGGTATGAATGTGAGGTTGTTTGCGTCCTGCGATTAGCTGACGACCCCTCCAGGGTGCAACCCAGCCACTCGCTCAGTCAGCTGCGCTAGAAAGTATGTTTTAATACGTTGTGTGTTCAGAGTGTGTTCGAAAAGTACCTTTCTTAAAATATATTTGGAACTGTATTATTATCATTATTTATTTTTTAATATATATATATATATATATAACTCTCATCATAAATTTTCACACTCATCATAAATTGACCCCCCCCTCCCTCCCCACCTTATGGAAGTGTTCACCTAGAGCTCATGAATAGTTAGCGCGATCCGGGCTGGCTCAACGAGAGGCCCAACGCTTCTCGCATTGAAGACTCTCTTTGGAATGAAAAGATGTTTTTCCTGCCCTGCCGACGGCCGTGACGCATCTCCCCACTGGCTACGCAAACTACTGAAACAAATGAATCATTGCAGGTGGAGCAATATTCATCTTTCTCTCACGTGCTGGCACAGTCATTGATGTCTCAATGCATTAAACC